GCCCAATGAGAGGCAAACCTCAGAATTATTCAAGATAAAAATTCGGTAACTAGGGGAGCAGCTCCAGAGGCGGATATGACATCAGCCTCAAGCCCTCAACAAGGCTGTCTGGATCACAGAGGCCTACATGGAACCGGTGAAAGAACCTCCTCATCACTGAGGGCTGAGGACTGACGCAAGGCCCCAGATGAACCCCCCTAACAAGTCAGGGCAGCACATCTAGCCAGGGCTGAGCCCCCCAAAAGGCAGGTGTATCTGGTATGGAGCTGCCAGGCACTCAGCCTGGCACTGCCCCACAGGGATCCGCAGCTGCAGCACAGGGCGGGGGTTCCCTTATTGAGATACAGAGCCTAGGCCTGGGGAGAGCGTAGTGGAGAAGATGGACTGCAGCTTCGGGCATGCCTGCCCTGAGCTGTACCACCCCAGGGTCATTCTGGATGCCCAGGTAGGTAAGCACATCCTTATGGCCATGGTGGATACAAGATGTGTGCAGACCCTGGTAGTATGACCATCTTACCAGTCCAAGCAGGCACCCCAAACATGGGGAAGATGCTGGCCTGCACGCACAGCAGGCAAACTTACAAATGGCACCAACTACCAGTGACAGTCCTCGGTAGGACACACGAGATGCCTGTCAGGATTTCACAAAACCCTCCCTGCCCAATGCTACTTGGTCGGGACTGGCCGTATTTGATAGAAGTCCTACAGAGTGTCCTAGCGGGGACCACTGAAAGAGAGGCCATGGTAGAAATGGATGGGTTCACCAGAGAGGGTGCAGAGTACCCGCTCTGAATACATGGTGGACCTCCTTGATCTGGAGGACATGATTGACTCAAGCCAGTGTCGGGTAGGTCAGCTCAATTACCCTGCAGTTTGGTGTCACAACCCAAAGGGTGTGATTTTTGTTTTTGTGTGCTTCGGCACTGCTAAATTGTCCCTGCTAAATTGCAGCTTCCTTGCACGGTGGAGTTTTCTGCTGCAAAAGAGAACCCGGTGCAAGGGAGAATTTCCCGCCAATTTGAAGCTTTCTTTGCAGGGTGCATTTCTTTGTTGCAGCACAGAAATGCTCGTTGCAAAGAGTTCCCGCCATTTGTGTGCTAATTTGAGTCCCATTATTGGCCAGTTCTAAATTATTCACACGTGGCGGCTAGTGATTGGCTTGCTAGCCGTATAAAAGGCTAGGTCTGATCAACCTCTAGCCTCTCCCCGTCGCCGAGCGCGGTCCAGACGTATCCCTTCCCGCGTGCGAGAGAACCGGACCCACGGAGCCTAGCAAACTTCGTGTAGCAGAAGGACCCACGGAGCCTAGCAAACTTTGTGTGAGCCCTTACGACCGATCTCAGAGCTCTTCTACCTGGGTTCGAGTCCTGCAGGTTTATTTTTCCCGTCGCCGAAACCCTTTGCGACGTACCCTCGTATTTTTTATCTTTCCGTCGCCAGAACCCTTTGCGACGTACCCTCGTGCCCTGCAGGTTCGAGTTTTGTTTTCTTTTCTGTCTGTAACCGCAACTCAAGCAAGCTTTCCAGCCTGCACCACAGCCATCTCGGTGTAAGTAAACAATCTTTTAAACTACCGATACGCGTTTGTGCCTAATTCCAGCTCGATGGCCTTCCCTCTCCGACCCGGCGTGCCTGGGCTGCTGGCCACAGCCGCGTGCAGCATGGAAAAGGGCTCAGGTTGCTCCCGGCCTGCACATTTGGCAAGCCTTCAGTGAAGGGCTAGTGCACCATAATGATGGCTGCTGCAGCCACAGCAGGCACCCCAGGCTCCACAGTTCGAGGTAAGGGGCAACCTCTTCTACCATATTAACAAAGGGAAAGGGCAAAAGCTGGAAGTGGCACAGTTGCTAGTGCCAGTGGTATAGGCCTCCTCTAGTTAAGCTGGCACATGATGGGCCAAAGGGGGACCATCTGGAAGGGACAAGACAGAGGCACTCCTGTTGCAGCGGTTCTGACCAGGGCTCTATAAGGAGGTCAGGCACTACTGCGAGATGTGCTTGGTGTCCACAACTGAGACTCTCGGTGGCCCTGATGGTGCCACTATCCATTGTGGAGAAGCCATTTCAGCAGATTGCCCTAGATATCATGGGCCTTTTCCCAAAAAGCAGTGTGAGTTACCAGTACATACCAGTGACAATGGACTACACATCCTGCTTCCCTAAGGCCATACCACTGCGTTTGAAGACGGCTCCAAGAATTGCAGCCGAATTACTTAAATGGATAGCAAGAGTAGGAATTCCCAAAGAGATCCTAACAGATCAAGGTAAATATTTCATGGCTGGGGTAATGAAGGGAATCTACGAGGTTCTCCAGTTAAAGCACTTAAGGACTTTGGTCTATTATCTTCAGACTAATGGGCTGCTTGAGCATTTCAACTGCACCTTAAAGGTGATGTTAAATAAATGTATACAGGGAGATCCCAAGAGATGGGACCAGCTGCTGATGCCTTTAATGTTCTCCATCAAGCTTCTATGGGCTATTCCCCTTTCAAGCTAGTATATAGCTATCAACCCTGGGACCTGCTTGACGTAGTGCAAGAAGGCTGGGAGCAACAGACTCCAGGTGGGGCCCATGTAGCAAAGCACCTGAGTTGCGGGAACATCTGACCTGTGCACATCAGGTGGCAAGGGACAATCTCAGGCAAGCCCAAGACAGAAAGAAAGCCTATTATGACTGAAAAGCCCAAGAGAGACACTTGAATGCAAGTGATCAGGTCCTGGTCCTCCTCCTGGAACACGATAGCTGGCTACTAGCCAAATGGGAGGGACCATTTGAAGTGGTGTGCCGCATAGGCCTGGTAGATTTCAAAGTGGATTACAAAGCAGGTGTTACAGAAGGGCCAACACTTGGGAGACACCTTATCAAGCAGTAGGAACACCAACTTTGGGGGTTAGTAGCAGAATATCAGGATGTATTCTGCATTGAAGCCAGGAAGGCCGAAGGGGTAGTATATCAGATAGCCAGGCCCGAGGGTTGCGTACTACATGAGACCTGGAAGCGGATTTCACGACAGCTCCATGAGGCCACCAAGTCCAAGGCAAGGAAAATGTTAGACAAAGAGATAATACGTGAATCCAGGAGCCAGTGGCACAGTCCCCTAGTAATAGTGCCTAAGAGAGAAGGGGCTCTACACCTGTGCATAGACTTGTTAAACACAGCGGCAAAATTTGATGTGTTCCCAATGCCAGCTGAAGGCAACCCAACTACCAAGCAAAAAGGGGGGAGGGGAAGTGGTATGTAACAGGCCCCCACCTAACTGATTGCGGCACTGTGGCTCAGGTGGCTGGGCTGCAATCAAGCCAGCTGGCACCATGCTGACTGGAAGAGCCCCACTGATTAGCCTGGGAGCAATGGGCTAAAAGCAGGCCTGGAGATAGAGGCACTGGGGGTGCACAATGGAAAACCAGAAGTGGGTCCAGACACTCTCCCTGCTGCTGGAAGGGACTCGACACTTTTCTCCAAGACCGACATACCTGGGGGAGTGACACATCCTGCTGCCAAAGCATCCAGGAAAAACCGGGATGCTCACTTCATCACCGGAAGGAGTTCAGCTGAATCCCATGAGGTCAAAACACCCAGGGAAGCACAGGATACTATCCCCACTGCCAGGGCACTGGGGAGCCAGCCAGCTGCTGTCCCTTCTAATATAGTTGGGAAGCAGCTCAGCCTGGATGCAACAGGACCCCTCCACATGCACAGAAATCTGTGCACAAGCACCCAGGTTGGGGGAGAGGGCAGTCTAGGAGGGGACAACAGGTGAAGAACCCCAGCAAGGGGGTTTTCCAACACTACGCACCTAGCTAGTATGCCTGAAAGCTTGGAGTGCCCCAACAGGAGGCTGGTGGGAAAGTGAGCCTTGCACAAGTGTGACAGTGGCCATGAGATGGTGCCATACCTGGCTTAGTGCCAGGGTGGGAAGAACACATGCAAGGGCTACCTGCCAGGAGACATAGGGCCTGAAGATGGGTGAGTGAGGGGTGCACCAGGCACCGGACCAACCCATGCCCAAGAAAGGGGGAGCTCAGCATGGAGGCACTGCTGTTCTTCCTGCCCAGCCCATTTGAGCCATTTAAGTTACATTACCTGTTTAGTTGTGATTTTGAAGATAGATGGCACCAGCAGGATCCTCGCAGTCTCAATTCTCACCAGACACCTAACATAGTAGAAAAGGTCACGTCTGCATGCCAAGATGTCTCCAGGGCTGATTACAATACCCGAGTAGAAAGGGGAAGGGTATAGGAGAGGAGGAGCCCCACAAACGTCATGCCAACATAGTCGTACCTGGACTCTCAGGGAACCATGATCTTCACTTCCAGGCAAATGAAGGTTGACCCAGTGGAAACAACAAAGTTGTAGCGGGTGAATAGGCCCAGATGCGATGTGACCCCAGGGGGTGGGACATGCCTGTGGTTTGTCGGCAACTGCATCAGGCATGAGCCTGTCACACGTAGCCTGTGAAGTTTCAAGTGGTCTGTGTCAAGGAAAATGCTTTACACTGATCACACAGATGGACAGACACATATGCCTCCCACCTTTAGTATGAAGTAGCAGATATTCTTTACCTCTGTATTTCCTTAATTCAAGGCTGCTGAAGAAATCCAAGGGGGGTTAAGTCACAGAACAGCCTGAAAAGTGGGTTTTGTTTTGCAGGCGACTAATCAGCTGCCTCCTTGGTGGCAGGTCTTGGTCAGGGATCATAAGATAGTCTGCAGGTCATATGGTCCTTACATAAGCAATCAAAAAGAAGCTCACTTGGGAGAGACTTTAGGTGAAGGAAAAGGACCGGCTTCATCAATCTGGCTTATTTATGTTGCACTACCTTGGTTTTGAGAAATAAATTTTATTCTAAGGAAAACCTGAAATTCTGCCACTGTTGACAGGTTTACTGATACTCTTGCTTGTAAGTTGACTCACTGGCAAGGTTTGCTAGAGGTGATGGCTGCTGTGGGTGATGTTTTCCATTGAATATAGAAGACAAGATTAAACATGACACACTGATAAAAAGTCTAATAACCAATATTTATTGATAAAAAATGGAGGGAGAAGTTGTGGGAATACAATCCCAACTCTTACAAAACCCAAGTTAAAAAAAAAAAAAAAATCAATGACAAAAACTAAAACCCCCACACAAGTCAATGACAGACATATCCATATAAAAAGGGATTTTACCAGCCCACATTCAGTCTCTGAAATCAAGCTCTTCCTGCCTCTTGGAATTTCTTCAGCAAGGGTTCATCTGCCCGGAGAGCAAAGGTTAGTGCCTGCTTTTGGTAGTACTGGGGATCAAGCTCCAGATTGTCAATCACATCTGTCAAGAGGTGGGCTCTCTCCACTGAGATGCCAGGCGCGTCGTAGCTCAGAGCAGAGAAATGCACATGCAGGTGATAGTAGGACGGCTGGTAATGCAGGTATATCCTCAGCTGAGTACCAGCCACCCCAAAGCGCTTCAATATGGCTTCCTGGGAAAGGAAGAAGGGAAGGAATTTAATCTGCAACTCAGCCTAGTCTTTTGCGACAGTGAATGGAAAAAAAAAATCAAGCAACATTACTATAATTCCTTTCAGCTACAGATCCCAAAACATTCAGGACAGAAATTCCAGACTGCAGGAAACAGTCAGTGAAATGAAGTCACTTCTGGGGTGGAACATAGTAGCTGAGTACATCAAAGTGTTGTGCTGTATATTAGTTTAGCATAGGAAATGCAAATCCCAAACCCAGATGAAACTGCAAGGGGCAAAAAGTGATATTTAAGTAGTAAAATGCAATTACTCAACTGGAATTTAGCTGGGACAGGAAGAATTAATTGCTGTGCTTTAGAAGAAGTGCCATGGGACCTTTAAAATGACCAGAAGGGGTCAGGGCTCCAGTTTCAAGTCTTGTCTGTGAATGACGGAATGAGGGTTTCATTACATGTAAAAGGAGTTTATCCTCTTCTATGTTTTCGCATATTTTTTCCTTTCTCAAACTCTTCCAGAAGGCAGCTGAAGGACAGGGGCATGCAGTACCAGATGCTCTGGCTGACAATCTGCCCAGCTGTAAATGCACTGCGCTCGGTGCCTGTGAGAATGCTAACCCCGAGCAGAGAAAGAGGCCACCTGCACACTAAAGATTTATGAGCCAGGCAGAGGCAGAGAGACAGACACCCAAAGCTTTTCTCAGCTAAGTCCTGTCCAAGAGCTAGTCACCAGCCAAGCTCACTGGCCAGCAGGTATGTGTCTGCAGAAGAATTTAAGTGGGTGGAGATCGATGTTTGGTTCAGACATACCAAGCAATGAAACCATCAAGGAAATGGCTATAGAAGCAGATGGAGGGAAAAGCTTGCTTCAGCAAAACAGTATTTCCAAGAGCAGATGTCGAGTCCGTAATGTTGTCTGAGTGGCTGAGCCATTATCTAATGTTTAAAGCACAAGGCTGAGATGCAGCAGGGGAGACAGGTGTAAAGGGGGGGGGATGGGGCCTGTCATGGGGAAAAGCACCTCAGTATGATGACACACAGACGGGATAAAAAGAAAAAGTAGGTCACTTACAAGCTCGCTGAGCCCGAGGCTCCTGTAGCAGCAGAGATGGGGAAGTTCTTGCCAGCAGCACGCTACCAGCAAACCTGCCCCACCATTACTCTGCTGGTATATCCACCCCAGCCATTTTGCTTTTCCTAGACATAGCCCTGCTTCATCAAAAAGTGCAGCCCATCAGCCCAGTGGACTGGAATACCTCAGAGGCAGGAAGGAAAGCAGCATGGCTCAACACCTTCTCAGGACAAGAAGGGAGGTAATTACGGACTTGATTCTGACCTCAATACAGACAATGGAAATCTGGAGCCGCTCCAGCACTCTCAGGTTCAGCCCAGCCCAGCCAAAGCCAGGATCTGGCTCATTACGAACAAGGGCTGCTTCTGTCTACTCTCCACGCCTGCGCAGCAAGTCCTCCTGGACGGGACGCTAGATAACGCAGACACGCAGCCCCTCAGCCGTGCCTTCTCCTGGTTTTTGTTGTTTTCCATTCTAGTCTTCTTGCTTCATTTTGCTCAGTGAGTTACAGGAGCCTGTTAGCAGCCAGCATAATTAAAGCTATAAACAGCAACAGTGAGCTTGTCAGGGCCCTTCCAGCAGGCGGCTGTTTGGGAACACTGCAATCCCTCACCTAATCTCTTAATTAATCTCTACCTTTCCCGGAGCAATAACTTTCAGAATTTCTAAAGCAATGAAGGGGAAAACCTGCCACCCTGCTTTGATCTGAACTGCCTGGTACTGAGCATGCCGTATCACACCTGCAAGGGGCAAGACATGGCCAGAAGGTTACAAAGCAGGATATTAATACAGGGGACAAGCTTCCATGCAGGAAAGCAGCAGCCCTTCAGCTCCACTAGGCAGTTTCTACAGCAAGTTTCTACTTGCTTCCCTGGCTCACTGCATGAGGAGAGAGCTGCATTCTCTTCACTTGCAGCCCCCTGCTCTGTCCATTGCCACTGAGCTCCCCTCCCCACAGCCCTAAATCCTGCAGCCCTCTCCCCGCCCCAGCTCAGCTCTCCTGTGTGGCAGCAAGAGCCTCCACTGGTGGCCCACTCAGCTGTGCAGGGATGTGCAGTACCCAGCCAAGCTCTGCTCTCAGTGTCAGCACTTGAAGCCATGACAGTTTTAGCTGGAACAGAACAGAAGAGGAGCTTCAGACGGCCCAGGCCAAAAGCAGTTTCCATGAAGGATTCATTGGCTTTCCAAGGGATTGGTGAAGCACTCACTTGGCTCCAACTAAAAAACCTGGTTTCCAAGGCAGACTGCGTGCTCAGACTTTGAGCTCTCAGCCCAGACGCCAAGAGGAAAAGGGTGTTCTCTTCTAACAGTGTCAGATTCTGTTCCAAAGGGATGGGCAATATTGCAGCCTGGGCTACATCCTCCCTTAGCATGGCCAGTCCAGCCAACAAGCTGACAGGGGTGCTCAATCCCTGGCTAGCAGGCCAAATCTGGCCTGCGGCCCCACATCATTTGGCCCATGCGGCTCCCCATGGGTCTGGAAATTTGACAGTGGGAGAGCAGTGGCACTACCAAATTTCTGGACCTGTGGGGAGCCAATGTGAGCGGGGGTGATGCTGGGCTCCAAGGCCCAAGGCCAGCATGCGAAGGTAGTGGGGAGCACCAGGCCCTAATCGCAGTGCACTGGGGCAGGAGTGGACAGTAGTGCCAGGCCCCCAGGACTCAATCCTGGTGAGAGGTGGTGATGCTGAGCCCCCGGGGACCAAACCCAGTGTGTGGGAGTGGTGCTGGGCCCCAGGGCCCACTTCAGGTGATTGGGGCAGGGAGGGAGTGGGGCCAGGCCCCAAAGCCTGATCCTGGTGCATGGGGCTCAGCCTAGCCCACAGATCAGTCCTAGCACACTCATCTGGCCTATAAGGAGCACCACTGACTTAGATGATTGCAGAAAATAACAACATGGGAACCTGCATGGAGGGAAGAAGGACACTGCTACTGAAGACCAGAGCTGGAATCTAGTGTCCCTCTGGATCCCTGCCGCTGCCATTGAAGTAGACCACCCCAGCACAAACCTTTTCTTAGACCCAGCTCCAAAGCTGGAGAAGAGCATATTGCTCTTTTTGGGCCACCTTGTGTTTCAGACAAGAGCAATGAAAAAAGGGAATCTAAATTGGAGCCCAAGGGAAAAACCATTCAGGTAGAAAAGTGGGATGTGTCCTAACATCGGAGAGACCCTCAGCACAAGCACTGATGGAGAAAGCCTCACTTTTGAAAACTGATGCTGCAATGTATAGACGGATGGACCATAGCCAGATCTGCTAGAGTTGTGACCCTGTCAGACTGCATGAACAAAGGAGGGTCAGTGGTTAGATAAGAGACTCCAGGACACAGGGTTAGAGCATTTCACTTTGCCCTCTACAGCAAAGTGAACCAAGGCCCCAGCAGGAGGAGACATGTGGTGCTACACTGCAGGAGGTGTCTGGCAAGAGGACAACACATGACTGGAACTCTAACCCGCTTGTGATCATGAAAGATCCTGCAACTCCAGCCACAAAAGAAGAGAACGCAACTCTGCCATCCGTGACACAAATGTCAACGTCAAAAATTATATTTTGCTACCTCGAGTTCATCTGGACACCACTTCTCCTCCTGCCTCAGTTGCTGCAGGTAGGTCTCAGGTGCTACCCTATAGGCATGTGTTTCCAGGGGTGAAGTGATCTTCCTCCTGCATCCTGGAAGGCTCACAGGTTTAGTTCACTGTGTGCAGAAATGAAGATATTGTTTCAGAAAAAATCTGTTAAAGCTGGAGTGAGAGAATGGGCCACTTCTGGGATCTGAGGTAAGTTAAGGGATCACGGCATGCCCCACTCCAGTTTATACTTCCCTTTGGCTGCAGCTCAGCCCTGGGTTCCATGTTCTTTGTGCAAGACAAAGAACATGGAAGTTCAGACAGCTCATGCAGGGCAGTCCCAGAGCCGGAGAGCCTTTCAATCAGTGATTCTCAACCAGGGTGCCACAGCACCCTGGGGTGCCTTGAGATCCTTTTAAGCGTACTGCAGGATGCCATAAAATATCAGCACTGTTGTTAGGTTTACAAATATGATCTATAAGATAAACCCAGAGATTTCAAATAGACTGCAACTATGGATTTCGTTCTGAGCACTTTGAAATAGAAAAGCTGCTTTACTATTTTTTCTGTAGGCAAAAAAAAGAGTTAAAAATAAGAGCAGGCATTTTCTAAGGGATGCCTCAAGTCTGAACAGGTCAAGAATGACTGCTTTAGAGCCTAGTTCTGACTCAAGACATGAAACCAGGCTGGAGAAAGAATCCAGACTTCTCCTTCATGTCGTATGAGAGAAGGTTAATTGGGGAGGAGAGGAAATCAGGAAAAGCTTTCCATGGCCCTATGGAGACTTGCTGCTTTCCTAGGCAGAGAGCCCTTCCTATTGCCTGATGCAGTTCAAAGGGCTCCTATCATTCATCTGGCCTCTAGTGCATAAAAATGCAAGTGTGATGCAGGATGTAGAGTCCTCTTTTCGTTTACTAATTTCTCTCTCTATGCGCACAGGTAGCACCAGGTAGTTAATAAACAGACCCATAATGGGTGCGCAGAAGGGCTAATGCTGTGTACAGAATGACAATAGATGCATGTCATTAACATCTACCTAAATCCTTTCATCCCCTGAAAGCCTCACAAACACCTCTCCTCCCCGCACTGGAACTGCAACCCCCTGGAGTGGGCGAGAACATGCCAGGCAGAGAGGATTCTTTCAGATTAAGCCCAAACCTTTTTCATTCACAGCCCCTAAAAAATTTTGAAAAGAGGTGTGAGCCCCTTTGAATTGTAAGAGTGGGTATTCACATACTTTTGATTGATCATAGTCATCTTTCATGGACCCCTTAAACCAGGGTGGGCAATTCTTTTGGCTGGAGGGCCACTGAACAAGTTTTAGTGAGCTCCTGGGGGCCGCAAGGGTAACCCTGGCCCTTGACAGATGCCCCGCCCTCTGGTTGCCATCTTGGGAATGCAAGTCTCATCCCTAACCCCTCACTTTTGCCACCATAAGTCCCTCCCTTTGTCCCTGGAAGTACTCCATTTGGGAAGGACATGGCTCCATAACATGGAGCTCCCTGCTGTTCCCCATGACCTGCACATAACACTGAGCTGAGCTGGGCTGCTGGCTCCATTGCACAGGGCTTCCTCCAGAGGTGTGCGGCTTGGGCGGAGAACCCGGGAATTGCACCTGAGCCCCATGAGATAGAGCCAGGCAGACCCCACTCCCCCAGGCTCCACACTCCTGCTGCCCTGCCCTGGGCCCCTGCTGGCCCTGGTGCTAAGCTCCCATCCAGTTGCCGCTTTTCTCCTGCCTGCCACCACCATCACTCCCCCCGCCCACCCACCTGGTGCTCCCACCCCCACCTGCCACTGCTGACACCCTTCCCCTGCCACTTGCCCACCTTCTCACCCACTCGCTGTCCCCCCACTCTTCCCGCTTGCTGCCACTCTCCCCTCCCCCCCACCTGCCAGCACCACCACTACTTCCCCTGCCTGCTGCTGCTGACCTACCTGTGGGGCCAGGGTCAGGGCTGTCCCATGGACAAGGGTGGGAGCACACTGTGTGCTGCCCCCACGGGAGTGAGCAGGGCTCAGCCTCATGTAAGAACAGCAGGGGCAGCCCAGGGCTGGCCAGGATGGATACAGTGAATTAGCAGGCACCCACCCATGGGCCAAATGAAATTGCCTGGTGGACTGGATTTGGCCTGTGGGCCATACTTTGCCCACCCCTGCCTTAGACAATCTGCAAATCCCCAGGGGTCCATGGACCACAAGTCGAAAACCATTGCTCTAAACCATTTCCTCCATTTTGTGTTTTCATGTTGGTCCAGCTGCTGGGCATCATGCTGCAGCAGTCAGTGACATTATGGACAGCAGCTGCTCACATGGAAAGTCACTTTTCATTTTGTCAATGAAGTCTGACCACAGAGAAATCATTACAGTTAAGTTACTGTCCCCAACAGAATAGGTGGGGTCTACAAAGTAAGATGCCTGCCAGGGTTATAAGGACTTGGGTACAAAGCATTCAGGACAAACCCGCCCATGCAAAGACGCTGAACCCCCCTTGCTGTAATCCACAAGTTCCCCAGTCTGCTGCATGAGCAAATGGCTCTCATGACAACAGGGCAGACTTCCTGCTGGGAAGCCAGCGGGAGCAGCAAATTTGGCAGCTGCTCCCTGCTGACAGAAATTAAGGCAATCTGCAAATTGATCTTGCATCAGTACAGTGAGACCCTGAGGGGTGCTCAGGTACCACAGTCATCATAGCACCTACCTTCCCTTCCTGCAAGATGTTCTTTAGCAAAGGCAGATGCTCAGAGGTGAGGTCCCGCAGTGATTTTATCTCCCGCCGGTGGCTGATGGCTATCAAATACAGGTCATCTAGCTGCAGAGACAGGGCATTAGAAAGGCTCAAATTCAAAGGTGTAAGAAGCAGTTTGGAGAGACCAGACCTTAGAGTTTCACAGAAACAACCATGCTAAAGGGGCTGTGAATGGAACCCTGACCCACATGGATGCAGACTATCATCATCATCTATCATCTCCTGGCACCTAGATTTGGTTATAGCACACCTCTGGAATAAATAAATACATGGAGTCTAGGCTTCTTTCCTCCCCCACCACAAAACCACCGGGGAATAATTTTCTACTGAATGGAGTTCTCCCACAATTTAAACATTCCCCAAAATAGGGGAATTCCCTTCTCTCCCTTCCCCCCACAACTAAGTGTATTTGCAAATATGTTTTTCATCATTCTACAGGCTTTAAAGACCCCTTTGGTACAGTAAATGAAGCACCTGAATAAAATCGAAGGGATTACATGGTGCTGTAGGATCAACTCTTTACTAATACAGTTCCTTTCCTCTTTCTTCACTTGCTACACATTCCTCCAGCTTTCAGTATTATTCTTTTCTTTTGTCAATATGTTTAAATGAATTAGCAGACTAAGCCAACTTTCAGAATAATATGTTACGCTTAGAGCATCTTTTACATATCCCAAAGACAGTTTTTAAAATCCTGTTATCAAGTCCCATAATACCCCCATGAGTTAGACCAGGGGTGCTTAAACCTGGCCTTCAGTCCCATCCAGCCCAAAATTTGGCAGTGAGTGAACAGTGACATGACTCTCCCACCACCAAATTTCCAGACCTGTGGGAAGTCTCTGTGTGCTGGATCAGGTGCCTAATCCCAGCATGTAGGGTTGGGCAAAGGCAGTGATGGGCCCCAGGGCCCAATCCTAGCATGCTGGGGCAGAAGGCAGCAGTGCCAGGCCCCTGGGAACCAAAACCAGCATGTGGGGGTGGCATGGCCTTCAGGGCCCACTTCATATGCTCAGGGCAGGGTGTCAGGCCCCAGGGCCTGATCCTGGTCCATAAGGCTAGATCCAGCCAGTGGACTGGCCCTGCTCCATTCATCTGGCCCACATGGCCAAAAGGTTGAGCACGGAGTTAGACAAAGTATCATCACTCCCATTTTAATGGCAGGTAAACTGAGGCACAAATTGCCTACGATCAGCATAAGCCAACGGCAGAATTTGGAAGAAAAGTCAAGAATCTAGATTCCTAAATATTTTTAATGTGTTTAAGTGGTTGCCTTCCTGCAGGACAAGAGAGCAGTTTATCTTCCTACGCAGGTGTTAACAAGGGGATTTTCTAAGAATTCAGAAGGGCAAAAGCATAAACTTTAGATTTTAGAATAAAAAGTTTTCATATTTCTGTGCGGCATTACAAATACACAGGGACAGCTTCCAATCCTCGTGGTTCCATAAATAACTAGCCCTTTTCTTAGGAGCTAGTCAGACAACTGGCAATACCAACACAGTGAGAAATTCAGATAGACTTCTGGCATCTCCCAAAACACTTTATTCATTAAATGTTTGACAAACGTAAAAAAATCATTGCACATTAAAAAAAATATATATATATATATAATTTTGGCCAGGTAGTACATGGAGGTCCCACAAAAGGACCTCCCATGCACAAAAGGTCCCTCTGCTCTTGCTTTTCTGAAGGGCTGGCCTAGCAATGAAATCATGTCATGAAGATGTGATACAGCAGCACGTGCATGCATACCACATATTGATAACTGTTGATATAGCCGTAGGTCCCAGAAGGGCAGCCTTGCAAACCCTACTGATTGTGTGTGTATTTTGTTCTCTGACGGCAAAGCTTTGCAGAAGGTTGCTTTAATAAGCCCATTATCTCAGCTTTCCTCTGCTTCTGGAACAGACTTCTGACTTTATATTAACATTCCCTTCTTGCAGTTCTGCAGCTTGTGCCATCCATGTATCATTTTTTGCTTTCAAAGAGTACAATCAATGTGCGCAGAAAACAAGTAATTGAGACCAAGCACATCCTTGCACATTTAAAAGCAAGCCTGTCTATTCTGAAACAGCTGGGAAGATGGCTCCCAGGATGCCTGTTCAAACACCCAAATGCACAGTGCTTTCAATTACATCTTTTGGCTTCCAAGGAACAAGCTGATTTTCATAACCTAACCCTGTCATCCTCAGACTGGGCCAGTTAGCACTGTGGGCGCACTCCACAGCTCCTGAAGAAGACAGCAAATTATTGTGTCTTATTAAAATCACCCTGGGCTCTCTGTCAGAGTATGATTGCAGAAGAAAAGCAAGTATCCCTCTTCTCAGAGGAACATCTGTACATGGCTGTTTGAAATAAAAAAGCCAGTTGCTTAAAAAAAAGGCTGGGGGTGATGTAATGTAGAGCATTTTGGGCAACGCCTCAGGGCTCCCATGGGCTCGAGACGGAAATGAACACTCAGAGAAGGCCAAAAATGGACTTTCTGTCACATGTTTAACTAAAACTCATTCCTCTGTGTGGTCCAAGCGCACAAACAGCTACTGTATTTCCTGGGTATTGCTTTTCTCCCACCAAGCTCAGCCTGGCAAGGATCCTCCTCATCCAAACCTCAGCAGCTGAAAGGGATGATCAGAGATGCTTCCTGTCCCGAACTGGATGCCTGGGATTTCCCACATGATGCTGGTGGGCTGGAACAGATGCTGAGCTACAATTTCAGTCTAAAAATGAGGATCGTGCAGTTGGAGAAAAGTTAGTCACATGGACATGTGTAACGAATCAGTGATGGTAGGGAAGGAGTAATCATACTTTACAGAGCACACCATCCACCAGATTTGAGTTAGCATAAATTGGTGTAGCTGGCCCCACTAAATCAATGGATTTATGCCATTCACACCAGCTAAGCATCCAGCCCTACAAACCTTAGATTTTCTATTTGTCAGCCTGTGTCAAACACAAATGTCTTAACCCTAAAATCTGTCTTTTGTCCACATTGGGTGCATCTACACAAGACACTTAATGTGCAGAAGACTAATTCTACTGCGCATTACAGTGGCAGGCAAAGCCTGTGCTAATGGGCAGTAGATTTAGTCCAATGCACAGTAGCATCATAAAAAAATCTGTTCATCTGTGCTAATGTGCAGGAGTGTAGATTACAGTGCATTAATGAAGGTGTAGACATGCCTAGTGAAGCACAAAGGCTTATAAACCATGCAAGCCTCCAGCCACCAGGGAGAGATTGATCTTCACAACTGGGCAGGCCAAAGGGCAATGGACACTTCTGGTTAGCCCAGAAGTCTCATTACTTGCACATGCCTTTGAGAAGGTTATCCAGCATGCAACTGCTTCAGATGTTCCTCTCATACCCAGCATGCAACATTACAGATGGCTCTAGCCAGAGGAAGCCTGAAAATAGTTCCCCTCTCATCCTTTCTGTAGGCTGGATGGGTGGGAGGTTGGGAGGAGGGATGGGTAGATGATGCAGATTCAACACTTGACAGTCTGAGTAGTATCAGCAGCTTTTGTTCTCAGAATATTGAGGTCACCAACACGAACAAGGATTTCAAAGTGTAAACAAGCACACAATTAATTCTTCCTGCAATCCAGCAGCCTCAAATAATTAAAAAGGTCCGTATGTGCATCATCCTCAATTAAAGTGCTAAGTTACTGGAACACAATCCTACTAAGCAGGCTTCCAACTCCTAGTCTCAGAGACTTTTTGACAGTCCTACTGGGAGCCATGTGTAGCTTCTTTAATTTAATTTGGTAGCCTAGGCCTCTGAGATGGAGTATATCATCTTTTTACACTCTTAACTTCATCAATTTCCCCTCTCCCAAATACACATCCCTGAACTTCCCACAAAGCAGGTGACCCAAAGAATGTCATTCTACTCTTCTGGGGGCAGAATCTCTCCAGTCTACGAGTCAGATGTGCAACCTGCTGAA